CGAGGTGGGTGACCTTCTTGGTTTAGAGGACGATGACCTGATGACCTCTCTGACCTCTATGACCTCTATGACCTCTCTGACCTCTCTGACCTCTCTGACCTCTATGACCTCTATGACCTCTCCTCCTTCAGGTCCTCTTGGCCGTGGATTATTCTGTCCTTCTGTTCCACGGACGAGACCACATCCAGAAGTACCTCCTCACACTCATGAACATCGTGAGTCCAAACTCTGTGTGTGTGTGTGTGTGTGTGTTTGTGTGTCTGTGTGTGTGTGTAAGCTGCTGAGTCAGGTTGTTGGAGGATAAAGTCGAGGTTAGGTCGTCAGTAGGGCGTCCTCATATGAACACGGTGAGAATCAGCTGATCGGACCAACAAGCTGTTATAAACATCAAACAACAGTTGTTGTTATGAGACTGAATGAAAACAAACAAACAAACGAAGGAACAGACCTGTGATCTCAGAGTTCTTCATCAGCCGTCTGCAGGTCCTCAGGTCCACAGGTCCACAGGTCCTCAGGTCCTCAGGTCCTCAGGTCCACAGGTCCACAGGTCCTCAGGTCCACAGGTCCTCAGGTCCTAAGATCCACAGGTCCACAGGTCCTCAGGTCCTCAGGTCCTCGGGTCCTCGGGTCCACAGGTCCACAGGTCCTCAGGTCCACAGGTCCTCAGGTCCTCAGGTCCACAGGTCCTCAGGTCCACAGGTCCACAGGTCCTCAGGTCCTTAGGTCCACAGGTCCTCAGGTCCACAGGTCCACAGGTCCTCAGGTCCTCAGGTCCACAGGTCCTCAGGTCCACAGGTCCACAGGTCCTCAGGTCCACAGGTCCTCAGGTCCTCAGGTCCACAGGTCCTCAGGTCCACAGGTCCACAGGTCCTCAGGTCCACAGGTCCTCAGGTCCACAGGTCCACAGGTCCTCAGGTCCACAGGTCCTCAGGTCCTCAGATCCACAGGTCCTCAGGTCCTCAGGTCCTCAGGTCCTCCGGTCCACAGATCCTCAGGTCCACAGGCCCAGGTCCTCAGGTCCTCAGGTCCACAGGTCCAGAGGTCCTCAGGTCCTCAGGTCCACAGGTCCACAGGTCCTCAGGTCCTCAGGTCCACAGGTCCAGAGGTCCTCAGGTCCTCAGGTCCACAGGTCCACAGGTCCTCAGGTCCACAGGTCCACAGGTCCTCAGGTCCTCAGGTCCTCAGGTCCACAGGTCCTCAGGTCCTCAGGTCCTAAGATCCACAGGTCCACAGGTCCTCAGGTCCTCAGGTCCACAGGTCCTCAGGTCCACAGGTCCTCAGGTCCTCAGGTCCTCAGGTCCTCAGGTCCACAGGTCCTCAGGTCCTCAGGTCCTCAGGTCCTAAGATCCACAGATCCTCAGGTCCACAGGTCCTCAGGTCCTCAGGTCCACAGGTCCTCAGGTCCACAGGTCCTCAGGTCCTAAGATCCACAGGTCCTCAGGTCCACAGGTCCTCAGGTCCACAGGTCCTCATATCCTCAGGTCCTCAGGTCCACAGGTCCTCAGGTCCTCAGGTCCTCAGGTCCACAGGTCCTCAGGTCCTCAGGTCCTCAGGTCCTCGTTTATCAGTCATGAGTACGTACAGATGAGTGCGTACGACGATCAAAGTCTGGAGTTTATCGACCTGAACTTGTTCTTAGGAACCAACTCTGAGCACGTGTACACTCAAACCCTAGTGGTCGAACAGTGAAACTACAACAGCTCTGTGAGTGTGCACCTCCATGATTTCAGCGAGGAGGAAAAAATCCATTCAGACATTTTTAAAGGGATTGTTGATACCATATATGGTCAATAGGAGGCGTGTCTGAATGTCAATGACCCTAACCATGAACGAGCTCGCCAGGAAAGAACAGGCGGGATTTATCATCACTGATCACTGACATGTGTGCGAACGACCGTGTCTGCATGAACCTTTTCTACGAACGCTGATAAATGAGGCTCCTGGTCTTTGGGGTTCAGGTGTCCCGGTCTCACCTGTGTGTCCTCTGTCTTCTCCAGGTGAATGAGATCTATCAGGATCACTCTCTGGGCGCGAACATCAACGTCGTCCTGGTCCGGATCATCATGTTGTCTCCAGCAAAGGTACTGAGCTGACTCAACACCTCTGGTCTGTAGATCTGCTGAACCTTCAGGGTCCTTCAGGTCCTGAGACGCCCCCCCTTGAGCTCCTCTGTCTGTTGTAGAAACCATCAGGAGTAGGGTTGTAGTTTTGTGTTTTCCACTCAGAGAGCTTCTTCTCAGGGCCTAAAGGAACTCAGGGCACCCGTAGACCTGAGTGTCCCCTCCAGTCCACCTCTGGGGTCGGTTCTGAAGCTCTGGTTCTGACCGTGTGTGTCCATCAGTCCCAGGAGCTGATCTCAGTGGGGAACCCTCAGAAGAGTCTGGAGAACGTCTGTGGATGGTCGTACCTCCAGCAGAGGGAGCAGAGTCACGCCGAGCAGCACGACCACACCATCTACCTGACCAGGCAGGAGTTCGGCCCCTCCGGCATGCAGGGTACTACAGCTGATACTACTGCTGATGCTAATACTGCATGTACTACTACTATTACTACTACTATTACTACTACTATTACTACTAACATCTATCCATCCAGGCATGAACACTAATCCTCTACCAATCAGGTAAGACCTCCTCTGACAGGTGGACCTCCTCCGAACAGGAAACTCTAGTTTACAGTCTCAGTTTAATCAGACTAACCTCATAACTCGTCTTTTTCTCTCCTCGTCCTCGTTTACATGCAGCTGAGAAAATCAAATTACTGACGTGAACGTGTCCTCCTCCCCAACACTAGGGGGCGATATGGGTCTTTTCAACCGTCCAAATACTTGAAAATGTCAGTTTCTGTCAGGGCGGAGAGCATAATGGCGCTCTCCTCCTCGTCGTTCCAAAAGTCGACGTTCTTTCGTGTTTCAGCGATGTCACAGCTGCTTCAGAGTCAAAAGTTCTTTCAATGATAGCGCCACTTCTTCTCTGGTGTTTTTGTTACAGGGTTACAGGGGCGTGGCCAATCATACTCCGACTACGCTGGTCACATGGGAGAGAAAATCTGATTCTAACCTCATTATCTGGGTGTTTTAATCAGAGTTCTTAAACTCTGATTATAGTCGGTCTAAGGTGTTTACATGACCTTCAGTTGTCCGGTCTTAATCGGAATAAGGCGATAATTCAGTTTTCTCAGTTGTCATGGAAACGGACTGAGTGTGTGTCTCACCTGCCTCTCGTTGCTCGTTTCCTTGTGTGTATATAGTCCCTGTCTTCCCCTGTTTTCTTGTCGGTTCCGTGTGTGTCTGTGTGTGTGTGTGTCTGTGTGTGTGTGTCTGTGTGTGTCTGTGTGTGTATGTGTGTCTGTATGTGTGTCTGTGTGTGTCTGTATGTGTGTGTCTGTGTGTGTCTGTGTGTCTGTGTGTGTGTGTCGTTGTGTATTCTTGTGTTCCTGTTGCCTCGGTGATTTTTGTGATTTTTTCTCTTTTTGTTGCTTCTTTATTTCGTTCTTTTTAATTAAATCTTCTTCTGTTTTGTATTTTGGTTCTTCTCTCTTCTTGTTTGACTCCGGACCGGGACAGTTTTTAACCTTGGATGTCTGACCCTTGACCTATGACCTTCGGCTCTCTCTGCAGGTTACGCCCCCGTCACAGGAATGTGTCACTTACATCGGAGTTGTGTTCTGGTGATCGAGGACGGGTTCTCCTCGGCATTTGTAGCTGCCCATGAGACAGGACATGTGTGAGACACACACACACACACACACACACACACACACACACACACACACACACTCACACAGACACACACACACTCACACACACACACTCACACACACACACACACAACATTTCCATACTCGACTCTCTCTCTCGGTGTTCGTCAGTGTTGGTGTCCGTTCGTCCTCGTTACCTTGACGACTTCGTTTACCCGTCTCTCAGGTTGGGCATGGAGCACGATGGCGAGGCCAACGACTGTGAGGACGACGTGGAGTTGGGCAGCATCATGTCTCCGCGGGTCCAGGCCACCTTCCATCGGTACCACTGGTCTCGCTGCAGCTGGAAGGAGCTGCACCAGTACCTGCAGTGAGTACTTCACACAGTACTACAGGTGTACCTTCGTCCTCAGGACCACTGTCAGCGTCTCCTCTCTGCTCTGCAGCACCTACGACTGTCTCCGTGACGACCCCTTCAACCATGACTGGCCCGCCCTGCCTCTGCTGCCGGGCTTCCAGTACTCCATGGACCAGCAGTGCCGCTTCGACTTCGGGCCAGGTTACAGTCTGTGCACTGTGGTGAGTCTGTCTGCTCACCTGTCTGTCTGTCTGTCTGCTCACCTGTCTGTCTGCTCACCTGTCCGTCTGTCTGTCTGTCTGCTCACCTGTCTGTCTGTCTGTCTGTCTGTCTGCTTACCTGTCTGTCTGTCTGTCTGTCTGTCTGTCTGTCTGTCTGTCTGTCTGTCTGTCTGCCTGTCTGTCTGTCTGTCTGTCTGTCTGTCTGTCTGTCTGTCTGCCTGTCTGTCTGTCTGTCTGTCTGTCTGTCTGTCTGTCTGTCTGTCTGTCTGTCTGCCTGTCTGTCTGTCTGTCTGTCTGTCTGTCTGTCTGTCTGTCTGTCTGTCTGTCTGTCTGTCTGTCTGTCCGTCTGTCTGTCTGTCTGTCTGTCTGTCTGTCTGTCTGTCTGTCTGTCTGTCTGTCTGTCTGTCTGTCTGTCTGTCTGTCTGTCTGTCTGTCTGTCTGTCTGTCTGTCTGTCTGTCTGTCCGTCTGTCTGTCTGTCTGTCTGCTCACCTGTCTGTCTGTCTGTCTGTCCGTCTGTCTGTCTGTCTGTCTGTCTGTCTGTCTGTCTGTCTGTCTGTCTGTCTGTCTGTCTGTCTGTCTGTCTGTCTGTCTGTCTGTCTGTCTGTCTGTCTGTCTGTCTGTCTGTCTGTCTGTCTGCTCACCTGTCTGTCTGTCTGTCTGTCTGTCTGTCTGCTCACCTGTCTGTCTGTCTGTCTGTCTGTCTGTCTGTCACCTGTCTGTCTGTCTGTCTGCTCACCTGTCTGCTCACCTGTCTGTCTGTCCGTCTGTCTGTCTGTCTGTCTGTCTGTCTGTCTGTCTGTCTGTCTGTCTGTCTGTCTGTCTGTCTGTCTGTCTGTCTGTCTGTGTCTGTCTGTCTGTCTGCTCACCTGTCTGTCACCTGTCTGTCTGCTCACCTGTCTGTCTGCTCACCTGTCTGTCTGTCTGTCTGTCTGTCTGTCTGTCTGTCTGTCTGTCTGTCTGTCTGTCTGTCTGCTCACCTGTCTGCTAACCTGTCTGTCTGTCCGTCTGCTCACCTGTCTGTCTGTCTGTCTGTCTGTCTGTCTGCTCACCTGTCTGTCTGTCTGTCTGTCTGTCTGTCTGCTTACCTGTCTGTCTGTCTGTCTGTCTGTCTGCTCACCTGTCTGTCTGCTCACCTGTCTGCTCACCTGTCTGTCTGTCTGTCTGTCTGTCTGCTCACCTGTCTGTCTGTTCATTGTTTTGATTATCTCACCTGGTGGACACACCCCTAGCGTTCTCCTCAGGTGATCTAGTTCTGAAGTTTCAGACGGACTCAGCAGAGACCGAGAGGACGAGTATCAGAGACAGAATCAGAGACTCGCTCTGTTGAGTCTTTGTGAGACATGTGACCCTCTGAGTGTGTTGTGGTTGGACGGCGGTGGCGGCGGCGGCGGCGGCACATCTGGTCCGGATGTGACTCAGAATGTTTGATGTCATCTCAGAGAGGTGGATGAACTCTGCAGATCTTTGTGACGTCTTTGTTCTGGAAGTTTCCACCAGTGTTTGGGTTCTGGTCTCTGCTGCAGCTCGTCTCTCTCTCTCTCTCTCTCTCTCTCTCTCTCTCTCTCTGTCTCTCTGGTCTCTGGTGGTCTCTAAGTTCCTCTTTAATCCCCCTCTTCACCCCCACAGTACACGAACCTTGACCCCTGTAAGCAGCTGTGGTGCAGCGAGTACAGCAACCCGTTCTACTGCAAGACCAAGAAAGGCCCGCCGCTGGACGGGACCAAGTGTGGACCGGGGAAGGTGAGGACACAGCGTGGACATCCTCAGTTATGTTTGGACTCAGAGTTCCCCTCAGAGGTAGACCAGGTCCAGGATAAAAAAACACAAGAGAAACCCTCAGAACCAGAACCAGAACCTGACGGGTCGAAGACGTTCAGTTTAAAATCAGTCCAGAGAAAATATTAAAGTCCTTCACTAAAACACTTTACTGGACTCCTGTCTCTGTAAGACATTATAGATAAATGTATAAAAGGTTATAATCATGTTAAAGAACTGTATTACTAAAGTTCAATGATCTTTATAGTAATAATTAAAACACATTATAAAACATATTATCATGACCTACAAGGTCAGATGTTATAATGTGTTATAACTGATAATAACTCACTGACCACGCCCACACAGATCATCCATTAAATATTCATGACCTGTTTAATTTTCTAATAAACTTGTATAACTGTCATTATAAACACTCGTTAATAATCATTAGGCTTTATAACAATAATCAGAACACATTATAATATTATTGCTATGAACCATTATGATCAAGTAACTACAGAGAAACAATAACTATAACTTATAAATGGTGATCAGATAGTTTATTATTGTTTAATCATCATTTATAAATAACATATAAACATTAATTAATTGTAAATTGTACCATTTTAAAACCCTAACTTTACAATAACATCTAAGTAACGTTTATAGATGATTTAAAAACCAAATATTAAACACTTACAAACTGACAAACATTTTAATCTCGATTTTTAACAACCAATATTTAAACCCTTTATAAACCTTTAATAAAGAGTCCATTAATAATTAATGAAAATTATTAATCATAATTTTATTACTTGTTGATGGTAAAGTTACTATTAACTTACATTAATAAACTTTTTATTTACCATTTATAGATGATGGTTATTGTAAAGTGTTAACGACTATAGTTATACAGTTCTATACCATGATAATAACTCTTTATACACATATTTATAATGTCTTACAGAAACAGGCGTCAGGTGAAGTTTTACCAAAGTACTTTTTCCAAACCCGGTTCAGACTTTAGGACCAGCAGAGACCGGTTTGAATCAGTCCAGTTCACCTGAGACTCCAAAAGGACGAGTGTCCTCTGTGCTGAGATGTGGTTCAGACCACAGACAGGAAGATGGACGGCCATAGTCTGAAGCCCCGCCCACAAGTATGTGGCTGCTTAGAAACTCCAGGCTGCTCTCTGTTTTGGCTGAATGTCCACGAATGTAAACAGAGCTCGAGGTCAGAGAAAGGAGCAGGTTTAGAGGAGGAGAGGTGGACCGGGTTTGAGGACACGCTCAGAGCTGCTGCTGCTGCTGTTGTTGTTGTTTACAGTCAGACTGACTCACCATAGACTCTAGTGGACACTGGAGGAACTGCAGCTTTTGTACTTTATGCTGCATTCGAGTTTCCTCGGAGTCAGAAGTCTGAAAATGACGTCACACCCGAGTTATCAGTGTTTCAGTGACCAAGTCAGCAGAAAGTAAAATCGGAGGCGGAAACAAGATGGCTACATCTACGAAAGTTAATTTAGCACTAGCCTTGTCCGATTATTAGGCACGCGTTAAAATAACTTTCGTAGATGTAGCCATCTTGTTTCTGCCTGGTAACCGAAACGCTGGGAACTCAGGTGTGACGTCATTTTCAACTCCGACTTCTGACTTCCGAGGAAACTCAAACGCAGCATTAGAATTGGCGTGTTAATGAACCTCAGCGTTTCCATGGTAACCATCTCTCGTTTCAGCACTGCTTCAAAGGTTACTGCTTGAGGGTGACCCCCGACATGCTCAGACAAGATGGCAGCTGGGGGACGTGGAGTCCGTTCGGCAGCTGCTCCCGGACCTGTGGGGGCGGGGTCAGGTTTCGAATCCGCCGTTGCGACAACCCAGCGTGAGTGAACTGTCAGTCACTTGTGATGTCATCTGTCAGATGCACCAATCAGAGAGTCTAACCTGTTGTTGTTCTCAGTCCAGCCAACGGGGGGCGCACCTGCTTTGGAAACAGCTACGAGTTCCAGCTCTGCAACCGGGAGGAGTGTCCCCCCCTCACTGACTTCAGGTCAGATCTGCTCTTCACTCTGTTATCTGTTAGTCATGTCTGAGCAAACGGTCCTAGATCAGGGGGAGTTTGATTGTTAGCAACACAACGTGGGTGCCAGGCGAAAAAATGACAACAGCGTCGAGTAGAAAATGAGACGACAGTGTAACTGCACGCCAACACAGGGTCAAAGGTCAGCGCACTGACGGTGTGTTTGTCTCTCAGAGAGGATCAGTGTAAAGTCTGGAACCCTTTTTATGAACACGAAGGAGTGAAACACCACTGGCTGCCCTACCAACACCCCGACCGTGAGTACACACACACACACACACACACACACACACACACACACACACACACACACACACACACACACACACACACACACACACACACACACACACACACACACACACACACACACACACACTCACACACACACACACACGCACACACATACACACACACACACACACACACACACACACACAGTTATAAAACAAAAATGACACAAACACAGTTATACACACACACACACACACACACAGATACACACACACACACACACACACACACACACACACACACACACACACACACACACAGTTATAAAACAAAAATGACACAAACACAGTTATACACACAAATACAACTTTTCAACACACACAGATTTTATCAAACTTTATAACACACACACACACTCACACACACTCACTGAATACACACACACACACATTCAGCATTTATATAATACACACATGATGCACAGAGTACACACTCTCTGTACACACTCAGATAGACGCCCACGCAGTTTTCCAAACTGAAAGATTACAAGAACGTTTCCTCACTGAGAGTTTAATCTGTGTGTGTGTGTGTGTGTGTGTGTGTGTGTGTGTGTGTGTGTGTGCAGATGTTATTGTCATCAGTCAGGAATCTGTTATTGGAGGAAACTTTCAGCCTCTCCTCTTTAACTCTTTACACTCCCAGTAAATATTTATATTTCTGTGTCTCTAATCTTTTCTCTGTCCACCTTAAAAAATTCCTCCTTAAATCTGACTGAACTGTGTTTGTTTAATAATGCCGTTAATGGATATAATGACTATATCATGTATCTGTGTGTGTGTGTGTGTGTGTGTGTGTGCAGCTGACGAGCGCTGTCGTCTGCACTGTCAGTCCAAGGAGACAGCCGCTGTGGTTTCCATGAACAGAATGGTGCATGATGGGACGGCGTGTTCCTACAGCGACGCCCACAGCGTGTGCGTGCGAGGAGAGTGTGAGGTCTTTATTTTGTTCAGTTCTTCGTCAGTCTGAGTTTGATTTCCCCTGATTGGTACTTTTATAGGTACAGAGCGATCTCATCGTGACCGAGGCTCTGAAACATGGTGTTATATTCCTGTATCGATGGTTTCCATGACAACAAAGCAGAGAGAAGGGCGGAGGTACAGAGCACAGAACAGCCCACCTCCTGTACCTCCGCCCTTCGCTTTGGGTCAGATCTGAGGTTCAGGAGTTTCATGTCAGAAACAAAGAAACCTCTTTATCTTTTATAATATTAATATATTAATAATATTATATAATTAATATAATATAACCAAAAATGCCCCCCCCCCCCCCTTATCCCCATGGTTACGCCGTGCTGTTTCAGATCAACACCCAATCACGTTTGTTGGACTTTCACCTCAGGAGTCACTGGGAACGTCACCAAAAACCCTTTAGTCAGTCCTCCTTCTGTCCCGTACCTGCCTAATAAGATCTCCTGTCCTCTGTCCTTGTCTCCTCTGTCCTCGTGCAGCATGTGGGCTGTGATGGACAGATTGCTTCAGATCAGCAGGAGGATCGATGTGGAGTCTGTGGAGGAGACAACTCCAGCTGTAAGATCATCAAAGGAAACTTCACCCGCAGCGCCAAGAAACCAGGTCTCTGAAAAGGTCCCTCTCATCAGAGGACATACCCCGGGTTTCATGTCCACGACCTTTGAAGTGTTGACCTCTTACACTCACTAACCCTTGGTTCCCATGGCCCAGGTTACTTGAAGATCCTGGAGATCCCCAAAGGAGCCCGACACCTGCTGATCCAAGAGTTTAAAGGGGCGTCTCACATCCTGGGTAAGACGGAGATGAGGACCTTGTTTTGTCCAACGTGAGGATGTTTGGTAGTTCACACTTTTTTTGGAATACCTTTTTATACAGTGTCTTTCTCCAGCTCTGAAGAACCAGGAGACGGGTAACCTCTTCCTGAACCACGAAGACGAGCTCCCAGAGACCCGGGAACTAATCGAGAAGGGTGTGGCGTGGGAATACAGCAACACCGAGGAGCAAGAGTCCATCCAGACCACAGGACCCCTGAAATATGGAGTCCTGCTGATGGTCAGTCTGTGGACACCAGAGGCTAATGTGCTCATATGTCAGGACACCACCTGAATCCTGTCTACCTGTGTCTCCGCCCAACAGGTCCGCTCCCAGGTTGACTCAAAAGTGACGGTGTCCTATAAGTATGTCATCCAGAACCAACTGCAGTCCTCACTGGACTCCAACCTGGTACCGGAGGACTCCATCTTCTACGAGTGGGCGCTGAAGAAGTGGTCACACTGCTCCAAACCCTGTGGAGGAGGTACGCTGATCTGTTTGTGGTAAACTCTGTTATAGTTAGCTGTGTCAAGTTGTTACCAGGGCAACAGTTGCATGGGGGTTTACAGTGCTGTCTGGTTGTCAGGGAAACAGTACACCAGGTTTGGCTGCAGGAGGAAGGCAGATGGGAAAATGGTCCACAGGATGTTCTGCTCCAACATCAACAAACCCAGGGCCATCAGTCGCAACTGCAACAGCAACACCTGCAGCTCGCCACGGTAACACGTCACATGACCAACGATGACAGTTCATCCGTCTATTCTGTTCAAAACAAACAGAAGTTACAACCAACACATGCACCCCACCTCAGTGTAGATACTGTCTGCTGCCACGGTGACGCATTAAAGGAAAAAGTGAAAGACAGAAACTCCGTCAGGGTTTTCCTGAAGTCCTTCTGGTCCTGCTCTTTCAGCTGGGTGACCGGAGAATGGGAGGAATGCAGCACTTCCTGTGGACAGACGGGGTGGCAGCGGCGCTGGGTGAGCTGCCAGCAGGCACCAGAGGGGGGCCAACAGAGGCAGCAGCGGTCAGTGAACAGCAAACTCTGTACTGAGGACCGTCCAGAGAGCAAACAGATCTGCAATCGATTCCCCTGCCCTGCCGCCTGGAGGGCTGGGCCATGGACCCCGGTAGGTAAACAAGGGAGAAGTCAGAGCTGACTGTTACCATCAGGAAACCTGCTTCAGGTCCTGTGAACGGTCTGCCAGGTACCATCATACCCCCTTCATTTACAACATTAAGACCATCTGCACTGATTCAGCAGATATACGGTCCTCTGACGTGTTCCCACTTTTAGTCTTTGCAGTAACTGCAGTTTGATCTGGGGATGTGACTAGCATAGGAAGTGCACTGCCATCTAGCAGTGTGTGCCGACTCTTAAGGGCCCAAGTAGGTAGTGCTCATGACAGCGTTGGCCATGACAGGATAACAACAGCATAAAGTCAGAGCAGAAGAACAAAAACAGGCTTTACTTGACTACTTCTTTCTGGACTTGTAGAGTCCTGATCTCTTTCTAGAGCACCATTACTCAAAAATGACTCCAAGACAACAACTGACCGGTCTAAAACCTGAGCTGCTCTGAGTCTGACTGAAATCTGTTTGTTTGCAGTGTTCTGTGTCTTGTGGAAATGGAACTCAGGAGCGTCAGGTTGCGTGTTCAAGTCCTGAGGGTTTGGCCAAAAACTGCAGTGGACCTCGACCAATGACGACCCGTACCTGTCAGGCCCCGCCCTGTAGAGGTATGCACAAGGGGATCACATGCTTATCAAGTTCTACCAACATTTCCACCTACTTTCACCACCATCCCAGAACCCAGCATTCCAGAACTTAGCATTCCACAACACAGCCCTCTGGAATTCTATAGCGTGTGTGTTACAATTTCAGTTTGTCTCCCCCTGCAGGTGACCAGAAGATCTCCATTGTTCAGTGGCTGTCCAGATCCAACCCGAACTTTACAGCTCCAAAGACGTCCTCCAGTAAAGAAATCTCTTCTTCTTTCTTTCCTATTTTCAGTCTCTCCTTAATTCCTTTCCCTGTTTTTAGAGACAGATTTGATCGTCAGGATTTATTGATTTGTTGGTGCTGATATGAGAATGAACATACTGTATATAAAAGAGAGATGTCCCACTGGAGATGACATGTTCCAGTATAGATGACTGGCTGAGACTCTCTCTACGTAGAGTTCACTGCAGATTAACGAGTGAATATCCTCAGACTTTCTGACGGACTCACGACGAACTGCCCGGGTAATTACAAACCGATTTACTGCTCCTGCTCTGTCTCCAGGGCAACGTTGCCGTGGTGACCGCTCAGTGTTTTGTCGGATGGAGGTGTTGAGTCGGTACTGCTCCATTGCTGGGTACCGTCAGATGTGCTGCAAGTCCTGCAGTGAGATCAACTCCACCAACACCACCAATAGCATGAATTCCACCAACCCCAGCACCTTCAGTGACCCAGGAAACTTCAGCACAACAAACCATCCGTCTGCCAGGTGAGAGCGGCGGTAAACCTCCACTGTCATTCAGTTGTACTTACTTGCCCGTCTAGCCCGTCCTGGTCCGCCCTGATATTGTTGATTTTCCTGTTTGTCTCACAGTTCATGGACTCCGACCACGGAGATGGTGACGTCTGCGGTGACGTCCTCATGGTCCTCTAGCGCTCCCTTTGTCAGTAACATCATCAGTACTCCCCCTCCAGACCTCACTATAACTCCGCCCCCCACCATCAGGAGCAGCACTGACTTTGTCTACGTTGAATATGACGATTATGATGATTATCCACTCTACGAGGATTCTTATACCATCTCCAACTCTGGTAAAATCATTCCAACTACTGCTCCTACCATTTTAAATACCACTCCTTCTACTACTATCAGTACCACCACCACCACAACCACAACCACGACTACGACAACCACTACAAGACGCCCAAGAAGGACTGCTCCACCACATTTACTCTGGTGGAAGATTGCCACTCCAACTACTTCACCATCCCATACTACCATGATTACTACTACTCCCACGACCACCACTACCACTACTACTACAAGACGCCCAAGAAGGACTGCTTCACCCCACTTACTCTGGTGGAAAGTTACCACTCCAACTACTTCTATGCCATCAAATACGACTACGATTAATACTACCCCAACTACTACAACTACTACCACCACGAGACGGCCAAGAAGGACTGCGCCACCACATTTACTCTGGTGGAAAATTGCCACTACAACTACTTCACCATCTCATACTACTACGATTAATACTACTCCCACTACTACCACTACTACTCCTACCACGAGACGGCCGAGAAGAACTGCTCCACCACATTTATTCTCATTTTACTACAGGAGGAAAACTACCACTCCCACAATGCCTTACCCCACGGCTCTAACTGAAGGTCACAGCGCAATATTAGCACCAATCAGGACGTCTGCTGCAGATGAAGACATCATCGCACCACCACCGTTACCAAATAGAACATATTGGGGGCGGAGCTTTCAGACCGAAGTATATAACACAGGAACCGAACCAATGCCAACATCATCACCGTCCTTCATCCCCCTCTCTAAGAAGGAGAACAACTCAGTGGACGAGGTGCCGTACCGGATCGTGGGATTGGACGGGGACATCAACAGGGGGCAGCAGAGCCACTTTGTGCCGCGGATGCCGCCTTTTCGAGAGAAAACACATAACAAACGCATCCAGCAGCTCCTGAACGAGAGGCGGCGACAGGACCTTGTAAGGAGGTCGAACAGGAGCAGGGAGGGCAGGACTGACAGGAGGCAGGGCAGACTGTAAAAAACTGTTTGATTCTTTATTTTTCACTCATGATGCTACGTTTGCAGTTCGCTCACTTCCTGCTAATGCTAAGAGACTCTCTATGAGAAACAGACTGCAGAGCTGACCAATCAAATGAATGAGGATTCACACAACTCCTTCAGATCTTCAGGTTCATGGAAATCCAGCTGTGCTTACATCCAGAGTACAATCTCCTCAAGTTCAGACAGTAAGATGGAAATCATGTAGAAATGTTTGCTTCTCTCTGCTCTCAGAATAAAGCTGTGTTCAGACTGAAAGAGAGAGAAATCTCTGACGGAGAGTAAAACCCCTGAAATCTACATCTCCACACCCTGATGCAGGTCAGATAAAAGCCTGAATTTGGGTCTCACCCCTAACCCCCCTCCAGCCAGGCCCTGAATAGGACCCCCAGTTTTCACCGTGCCTGGAACGGCTCAGATCCGGAACAGCAGCGATCTTCACCATCCACCAATTCCTTTCAGATCTGTTTGTGAGGCGAATTTAGTGGCGGACTTCTGATAGCGGTAATCACGAATACTCACAAGAACCCGCAGATTCACGTTCAATCGCCCGATAACGAGTCGTCTCTATAAAGACAGACACATAGACATATAAGCAGTAGATTGTGTCCTTCCAGAGGAGGAAATCTACTTCTAGACTTCTAGAATCAGCATCTCCTCATCCATGGTGTCATCGGGGTGAAATGACGTCTAAAAACCTTTCACTTGTTCGTCTCCGCCCGTTTGCATGGTGTGAAATACGATCCTCCTGAAACACGGAGTGTTTTATTTTGAAAAGAAGCCGGATGTTTTATTTTGTGTCTGTGCCCGACTTCCTTTCCAGCACGGGTTGAATGGTTACGATCAGCTACGATCGGAGGATACGACCTTTTAGGAGACGATCAGACGTCCTCTGATGAGGACCACGTTCAAGCCTAAAGAGGTCTGATTTAGATCCTTTCCTGACTCGTCCCACAAATCCCATTTAGGTACCTGTAGAGGTCTGCATTTGGGTCCTTCTCCATCTCTGTGCCACAGTGAAGAGCTTGTAGAGGTCACTTTAAGGTCCCACCCAAAACTCTCTAAAGCCACACCCTCACAAAGAGCCTTCAGAGGTCTTGATGTGGGTTGAACTTTGACCTCTTTCCAGCCACAGCCTGATGAAGTGACCTTTCCCAATGATCCCAAGTCCAATTTAAGTTCTTAGCTCAAACTCTACCCAAGGTTAGGACACTGAGGAGGTCTGCATTTTGGTCCTACCCCCAACTCTCATCCCGATGTGATTTAGGGTGGAGATCAGATGGACGAGTGAGAAGATGCAGAACTTCATGTTCCACAGAGGAGCTTTCCTTTAGTCTGGACACAGCTTTAGACCTCAGAGTTGTTCTTGTTGATGCTGTTTGTATAAAAATATCCTGTTTCTAAATAAAGCAAAGTCTCATGCAGCAGCGTCTGATGTCAGGTTCAACACCTGTCAGAGCTCTGACGCTCCGTCCAGGTGTATGTCCCTCCTCTGTTCACACATCTGTTAGCTGAAGCAGAGGAAACAACTCACCTGGATCTGTTCAGAGGTAATGAAACACACCTGTCAGCAGCTCCACCGCTCAGGTATTTACATATTAAATCTGGTATGTTTTATCTGATGAGGAACGCCGCCGGGTAAATTTCTCCAGTTTTCAACTCTGTAGAAACGGAGAGTTTTACTCCCCGTCTGTCTCGTATTATCAGAGGGTTGATCCCTTCGTCTTTGCTGTTTGTCTGAAGATCGTTTCTAACAAACATCTCGAGTTTTGGAGGTGTTGATGTTCTCGGAGATGGAGGACAGTCTGTTCTGTCCGAGCGTTTCTGACCTCTCTGAAGCTGTTTCTGATCTGGTGGGTATTTGATTTCTCTGAGTCACTTTCTTGGTCATGTTGTTGAATACTTCTGGATGAATCCAGGCGAGCAGCTGCTGTCCTGCTGAGGATCAAACTGGATTCAGATCAGATGAGTCAGCTCTGAGGATTAATGTCTGCGGTCGATCAGTGGAAACAGCTGACTGATCTTCACACGTTTCTTCCCTTCTTTCCTTCATTGTTTCCAGATGAGATGAGAATCAAAACAGCAGAAACATGTTTGACTGAAAACAACTTCAAACAGTGACAACAAAAGCGCCGATGATTCAGACAATAACCTACAGACATGCTAAAGTCACTCTCAGGACGGCCCCTGACGTATGGACGCTCATTTCCACATGTTGGAGAGAGAGAGAGAGAAACTTGTCCGAGGTGGAAAAAAATCAATAAACCAATCAGACTGAATATCAGAAGCTCTTTAATACAACGAGTAAGTCAAACAAAGTGCTGCACTACATTATAGGATAAATAAATATGATCAACATACAATCACTCACAATACAATCACAACTCACTTTTAAGTGATGTTTACTTTTTATTTTTAACCACTTTCTCATCATGATCACATTCTCATAATTTGACTTCTTACAATCAAATTTACTTATAAACTCATGATTTTAATGTACATCATTATTTCAAGGGTTGTAACTTCTATGAGTGACTTTCTCACAAAAACAAAAAAATTTCTCATTTTTTTATTTTTGTTGTATTTTTCTGGATGGCTGAAATTGTCTTTATTCTAAAGTTATGTCCGTATTTGGGAGCTTGAAACTCTCTTCACCTTTTACTTCGTTGTTTGAAATGAGGTTTTGTGCCTGTCAGAACAAACCCGGGGCTAATAAAGCGCCTGCTCTGAGCCTGTCAGTTTAAACTCCGGGCAACATTAACCCTTTCCCCGTCCTTGACGGTCAACACGGAGCAAAGATGGCGGCCGCCGCAGTCAGGAGTATCGGCTCCACTTTGGGGAAGAACCTCCGAGAGATCCGCCTGCATCTCTGCCAGACCTCCGCCGCCAGCAAGGGGGCCAGGTGAGACCCGAACCGGTCTGCCGAGGCGGGAAAAAACCCGGGGTTCGGTTTTTAGAAACGATAAAACAGAGACCTGGGCTCTGAGCTAGCTTAGCATCTCTGCTTAGCATGACCTGCTAACATCAGAGAACTTTAGTGAACATCATCAGAGAGCTCGAACCTTCAGCCAACAGCTGCTGATAACATCCAGGTGTGAGTTTAAAGAGAAAGAAGATACAGGTGATCGATAGACTCGACAGGGCCGTGTCCAGAGTTTAAGATCAGGGGGGCTAACGCCAACACTGGGGGGGTTACCCTCTTTAACACAAACATCATTTATCCACAGAACCGTCATCACTAATGTTAACTTTAACTACGAACATCGAAGTCAAAACTGATGATCCTCAGGAAGGTCAAAGACCAGGACCTGATCAGAACCTTTAGACCAGAATTTACCAAATCTGGACCAGATTATTAGACAGTTTCAGTCTAAGATTAACGTCTGTATCCTGTTTTAGGATCAATGATTTGTAGCTCCTCACTGGGACTGGACAATAAAACGATACAAATCAAAAATTAATTTCCCTAAATATCAATATAAACATGATCAATATCCTTTTCAATAGTCGTCATTCTGACATGTTTTGGTCGACTATAAGAACAGCCAATGAAAAGGGGAGTTTCTCCGGGTCTGAACCAATCATGTTCTGAATTAGAACCAAGTATCAACCAACTGCAGCAAAGTCGTAGCAGACAGCAGCTCCACCCAACCATAGCACTTTAACAGGTGAAGCCGACAGCACTGTTGGTGAGAAACAAAGAAAATGAGTGCTACCCCCGACAGAAATGACCATGAAGGCTCAACAGATGACCACATCAATGTCAACCACAACACTGGCGTTAGGAAAACGTCGGTGGTGTGGAGGTATTTTGGTTTTTGGAGGTCGGACATGAAGCAGAGTAATGTGGACTGTAAATTATGTCGAGTACATGTTCTCACAAAGTCGGGGAATACCTCAAATCTTTTTCACCACCTGAAGCAGCGCCACGCCGCAGAGCACGCGCAACGCCAAAGGTTACAAACCCCGAGAGGAGCGAGGAGCCGAAACAGACGACCATTCAGTCGGCTTTCTCTAGAGCGACGCCTTACGACAAAACGCCAAAGAGACACAAAGACCTCACAGATGCAGGAGATTATTGTGTTGGAAAAGACATGAGACCAATAAACACTGTTAGATTTATATATCCTGATATTGATCCATATCAGCTGATAGGAAATCAATAATATATGTTGTGATAGACTTTTTCACAGATCGCCCAGCTCTACCTCTGAGCAGTTAAATAAATCACAATTTAATTTCATCTTCATCATTTAAAGATCAGAGTAACATTATCTGTCGGTCCTGACTGTTATAATGTTTCACCATCATCTCTAGATCACTGTTACTGAGGAGTGTTTCCTCATTACTCTACAACTGATCTCATACTGACTGTGTGTGTGTGTGTGTGTGTGTGTGTGTGTGTGTGTGTGTGTGTGTGTGTGTGTGTGTTGACAGAGACTTTGTGGAGCAGCATTATGTGACGCTGAAGAAGTCTAACCCGGACTTCCCGATCCTGATCAGAGAGTGTTCTGGAGTCCAGGCCCGGGTCTGGGCCCGTTATGGTGGGTCTGCACAGGTCTCATCAGGTCTCTGTAAAGGGTCATGAAGGGTTCAGTCTCTTTTTTCATATCTGTGTGTTTGAAACCATGGTAACCGCCTGTCATATTGAAGAAGCTCTGTTGAAGCTCCTCAGTGAGCTGCAGAGTCGTGTTAGAACAGACATGAAGGTCGTTTATCAGTCAGTACGTTTCCATGACACTCGACTTTAGTCCGACTATAATCTGAGATTAAGACACCCAGATAATGAGATTGGAATTCGATTTTCTCTACCATGTAACCAGCGTAGTCGGAGTATGAGGCCACGCCCCCCGTAACCCGGTAACAAACCCCCAGAGTAGAGGAGTAGCGTTGGTCTCATCTTTAGAAAAAGTAGCGCGTCCATCATGTCGGACAAAAACAACGCTGTACGATGCTCCATCTTCTTGTTTCTCCAAAATGCCCAGCAGCAGTTGTAGACACTTCTGACGTCTGACACCGACCTGCTGTTGTTGTTGACGGTTGGACGGGGTCGGAAACAGCGCCGCTGAAAAGACCCATATCGCCCCCTAGTGTTGGGGAGGAGGACTCGTTCACGTCAATAATTCAGTTTTCTCAGCTGCATGTAAAAGAGGACGAGGAGAGAAGTCTGATTCAGAGAAAAAGACGAGTTATGAGTTTATTCTGATTAAACTGAGACTGTAAATGAACTGAGTGATCAGAGACAGACATACAGAGAGGCTGTTGGAGTCGGACTGTAGAAACTGAGATTTAGAGTTCAAACACACGGAGGATCGAAGAGTTCATCAACTCTAACGAACCAAAACGACTCCGAAAAGAAAAGGTGAAGAAGAAATCCAGTTTAATGTAAATGTTCTTTATTTATTCAGCCTTTAAAAAACCCTTTCAGTGAACCGAAGAGCTTTACAAAGGAAAATAGAACTGAATAAATAAAAACAATAAAAAAGAATAAAAAGTGATGAGTTCACGTCTGTTACTGTTGGTTAAAAGACGAGCAGCAGCGTTTTGGACGAGTTGAAGACGTCCTGGTGAAGGACCCTTAGACCCCCGGCTCCTTTAGGTCGTCTGCGCGGGGCGTCTGCAGCTCTTTCAGTCTGTCATTAATGGCGCAGCAGCTGATGGTTAAAACCGTGCGGCGCCCTGCTCTGCTCTCTGAATGTTTTCCTGTTTTCGTCTTCTGACAGAATCTCCGACTATAAAAGTAAAAACAGTAAAAACGCGGTGCCCCTGAGCTCTGAATGTTTTCCTGTTTTTGTTCTTTTCTGATCCGAGTCCTGACTCCGATTTCTAACATGAAGTCTCTGAGCGAGGAGAAAACTGACCCGTCAGATCAACTACAGACAGTTTTTATTGTATTAAATGAAGCCGGTCTGTAGCTGTGATGAAACACAGACACACTTCCACTAAAGCTGAAGAAAATCTGAAGTAAAGCTCAGATCAACATCAGCTC